ATTCTGCTTATCCAGGAAACATGATGTCCGTCTGTACTTACATTGTCAAGGAAAGAAGTAACTTGAGAAGCAAGCCATCAGACACCCTGCCCAGTGTGATGATGTTGTCCACACCAGACTAGAACACAGCAGCATATTGTTGTTCCTACCAGTTAGAGGATTGTATGGTTTAGAACTATGGTAGGGGCTGGAGAGATGGCTCAGCTGTTAAGAACACAGGCTGTTCTTGCAGAAGACCTGGGTTCAAATCCCAACACCCACATGGCAGCTAACAACTGTCTGTAACTCCAGTTCCAGGAGATCCCACAACTTCTGTCCTCCTAGGGGATTGCACGACACAGGTACACTTACACACATTCAGGCAATACACACATACAAATAAACTAAAAAAAAATTCTAAAAGAACTATGGTAGAACTCATTAAGCAGTTTAAGAAGACATCTAATATCTAGTGAGAGGTGGTTGCTTGTTTTTAACAAACAGCACTGCAACTATTAGGCAAGTTCTTTAATCTCATTTGGTTGTTTTTTTTATTTTTGAGAGGGTCTCCTGTAGCCCAGGACAGCCTGAATCTCCTTATGTAGGCAAGGATGACCTTGAACTTGTGATTTTCCTGGTGGAATTACAGGAATTCTCTACAATGCTTGAGTTAGATGGAGCTGGGGATCCAAAGCACCACCACCATGTCTAGTTTTATGCAATGCATGGGCAAAGGACTGTGCATGGTAGGCCAGTAAGTACCCTACCAACTAAGTCACATCCCAGGCACCCTATTCTTTTTTGTTAAGTCAGGGTGTATTATAGTAATGGTAGCTGACTGTGAACTCTTGCACTCGCTTCTTTTTCCCTTGTCTCCCAAGCACTAGGATTCTCATGTGTCCAGGCCCAGTTTTACAAAGAGTTGTTACTCCTTTACAAGAGTCCACTGGGTAAGAGGAAGCAGAGTTCTGCTCTACAGTCTTTTGGGACTGAAGTAGATGGGGAGTCTGCCATCTTTAATGCTGACTTGCCAATTCCCTAAGCATTGGCATACAGCTCTTAGAACAAGAGGAAAAAGCATGCATGCAAGGGTGGGGGAAGATGTTTCTGGAGTGTTCTGGGCCATTCCAGGAAATGGCACTATTACATTCTGATATTCTGCCAAATGGAATCCAGACATGTGACTGTACCTATCTATTCATAAAGGAAGCTAGAAGGGGCTGGAGAAATGGCTCAGCAGTTAAGAACACTGAATGTTCTTACAGAAGACCCGGGTTCGAATCCCAGCACCCACATGGCAGCTAACAACTATCTGTAACTCCAGTTCCAGGGGATCCAACAGCCTCTTCTGTCCTCCTCGGATATTGCACGACACGGGTGCACTTACCTATATGAAGGCAATACATGCATACACATAAAAATAATTTTTTTAAAAAAAAGGAAGCTAGAAAATGTGGCTGTGTGCCCAGAGAAAAAGTGAACATGGAATTTGGTGAAGAGAGACTATATCTGTCTTCCATAAGGAATTACATACAGAAGTATATGACATAAAGATTAGAGGTGTGTAGCGATATGTGCTTGGTTTACTGGCTTAGAAAGTTATTTTGTCTTTTTTTTTTTTTCCTTCGGAGCTGAGGACCGAACCCAGGACCTTGTGCCTGCTAGGCAAGCGCTCTACTACTGAGCAAAATCCCCAACCCCATTGGCTTAGAAAGTTAACAGTTAAACTCCAAAAGAGGAGAGGGGTAGAACGCCCAAGCAAAGGTCAGTGGGCTGGGCTGGAGTTGTCCCAAACAAAAAGGTTGAAGCTGATGACAGACTTAGAACATTTAGGGCAAAGGAGTATGGGTAGAACAGTCAGGCAAGTTGCTTGCATAGTTCCTTCTTTAGCCCAGAAAGTAAGAACCCATTTCTGGCTCCACCTCCATTGCAAGCGGTGTGGTCATGTGACTAGCTCTGGCCAATCGCAGAAATGACAGCACTACTTGCAGACTGAGCTGCTAATTATTGGCATTAAGGGGCTCTCTAGATCACCGGATCCCATTTACCAATGACCAGCAATATTACAGCGATCTGCCTTCATCAATATGGGCCCTACAGAAAGATAGAGCAGTGATGCTTGGCACTCATGAAGGATCTTAAAACAGATTTGAGACAGGGTCTCCCTGTAGCCCCAGTTGGCCTGGATCTTGCTGAGAGCTGCCTGCTTCTGCCTCCCAAATGCTGTGATTAAAGGCATGTGCTACTATACCCAGTTGTGTTGTTTTTTGATGTATGACTGTTTTGCCTGCATGTATGTAAGTTCATCACATACATGCAATGCCTGCAGAGGCCAGAAGATGGCATCAGATCCCCTGAAACTGGAGTTATGGACAGGTATTAGTTGCCAGGCCTCTGTAAGTGCAGCCAGTGTGCTTAACTGTTGAGTCATCTCTCCAGCCCCTTGCCTTTATTTTTAGAGGCACGGTCTCTCTATGTAGCCCTGGCTTTCCTGCACTATGTAGACTTGCCTCTGCCTCCAAAGTACTGGGATTAAAGGCCACCATGCCCAGCTTGTTTTTTGAGACAGCATCTCATGTATCCCAGGCTAGCCTCCAGCTCACTATATAGCCAAGAATGACCTTGAATTTTTTTTTTTTTTTTTTTTGTCTTTTTGAGACAGGATCTCTGTCTCCCTGTAGCCCCAGCTGGCCTGGAACTATGTAGACCAGGCTGGCCTTGAACTCACAGAGATCCGCCTGCCTCTGCCTCCAGTGCTGGGATTAAAGGCATGTGCCCCCACACCCGGCGACCTCAAATTTTTTAATCTCCTGTCTCTACCACCCAAATGCTGGGATTACAAGCATGTGTGCCACCACACCCAGTTTATTGGATACTGGAGATGGAATGGAGGGCTTTATGTGTGTTAGACAAGCATTCTACCAACTGAACTACAATCTCCAGCCCTATTTTAAACATTAAAATGAACACTCCATAGAATCCTAGATACACTTTAGTCCTTAAAAGATCATTTGTAGAAAAAAAATTTTGGGGGTCTTTTTGAGACAGGATCTCCCTGTAGCTCCAGCTGTTCTGGAACTCACTATGTAGACCAGGCTGGCCTTGAACTCACAGAGATCTGCCTGCCTCTGCCTCCCAAGTGCTGGGATTAAAGGTGTGTGCCACTACGACCACCTCATTTGTAGAAAATTTTAAGCAACAAAGTGCTGAAGAGAGATATTAAGGACAGATTAGTATTTAATCAAAGTCACTCCTCCAACTCCATATAATCAAGAGGTTTACAGAAAAGGTTGCGGGGAGAGCAAAGGGTGGATTTGTGGAGTTGTCTGAACCATTTTTTATGTAGGGACAATTTTGGCTGTGCAATGTCCTCTGGTCTCTCTGGAAGGGACTCCTGTATTAGGGAAGGCTGTTGTATTGTTGAAAGATTTGGGGGCCCTCCTTGCACTGTGGCCTGCGCCACCAGCTAGCTCTATGCCATTTTCCCATCTGTGCAAGTCCATCTTGAGTTTCACCCTAAGTAACTTGACACAGAGGTAAATGAAACGGAACCATAGCTCTTTATGAGTTCTCTTAGGGGAAAGGAAGAGACTGGACCTGGTTTACTTCAGCATTAGAAAAGCCCATGTTTCCAGCCAGCTGGTGACGCCATCTTAACTAGAGCTTGCCAAGTAGTAGATCCCAGTGCAGGGCCTGTGTTTTATTCACCTGGGAATAAATGGTAATTAGGAATCTGCTTTGGAGATTCTGGCTTGAAGGTTCGTTCTACCACTTAATAACTAGGTATATTTGCTTAATTAAACCCCTTAATCCAGCCTCACAAGCCTGTAAAATGGGAATACAAATAACCACCCACTCCTTTGATTTACAGAAGTTAAATGAGACCTTTGTATGTGAAGTTGTTGACACAGCTCCATTTGTCCAGTGCTTGGAAAACAGTTGAGTTCTGCCTAGTTGAGGTATGTCTCCAAAGACATCAAGATACTTCCTTTTTTTTTTTTTTGAGAGAGAGAGAGAGCGAGAGCGAGAGCGAGAGCGAGAGCGAGAGAGAATGCAGGGAGAGAGAGCGAGAGCGAGAGCGAGAGCGAGAGAGAGAGAGAGAGAGAGAGAGAGAGAGAGAGAGTCTCCCGTAGCTCCTGCTGGCCTGGAACTCTTTATGTAGACCAGGCTGGCCTCAGTCTCACAGAGATTCCCTGCCTCTGCCTCCCAGAGTGCTGGGATTAAAGCTGTTTCCTTTTTGTCAAGAGCTACAAACCAGGTACAATGGGACTGAATCAATGGCAATTTTAAGAATCAGTTTGCCAGAGGCTGACAATGCTATAAAAGCTAAACAATGTTTACCCCGGAGGAAATGGTTTTCATTTTATCTGTAGTGTTTGGATGTTTCCATATATTAAATTTTAAATTAAGCACATTCTTAAGGGGAAACGTATGGCTAGGCTAGTCGGGTTACCGTGTTATTTGCTAACCCTTTCAAGTGTTTTAGAAATTGCAAAAGCAAGGAAGAGAAACTCTAGTTACTACCTGTGTTAATTCGGCGGCCCCTTCCCACACAAACTTGTGGATAGACAGAATAATCGGTCTACACAGGAATTTTAAACTGGCTGCCACATCCGGCCCTCAGCACCGGTGGTCCTTAGGAAGAATGGTTTATTTACACCCTTCCCGGGCGGCTGAGGCTTTGTCTAGGCGCGGGCGGGTCCTCGGCCCCCCGCACGGCCGTTACAGAGGTCCGGTTCGCTGCCACCAGGCCAGGCCCGAGGGGCGGGCCCCAAGGTGCGGCCTCGCCTCCGCCGGCGCCCGTCGCTTCCCGGCTGCTTCCTGGCCGCTCTGCCCAGCGACGCCGCCAGCATGCTGCAGAAGCAGGAGAAGGTGCTGCTGCTGAGGACCTTCCAGGGCCGAACGCTGCGGATCGTGCGCGAGCACTACCTGCGGCCTTGCGTGCCCTGCAACAGCCCGCTCTGCCCGCAGCCGGCCGCCTGCTGCAACGGTCAGGGCGGGAAGGGACCAGGGGCGGCCCGGGCCTGAGGAGCGAGGGCGGCGGGGCGCGAGCGAAAGGAGCGGGGACCTGAGGAGCGAGGGCGGCTGGGCGCGAGCCAGGGGAGCGGGGTCTGCGGAGCAAGGGAAGCCGGAAGCCGGCACCAGAGAAGCGAGGAGAGCCGGGACCTGGAGTAGCAAGGATAGCCGGGGACTGAGGAGCGAGGGCGGCCGGGCGCGAGCCAAGGGAGCCGGGGCTTGAGGAGCAAGGGAGGCCGCGATCCGGCACCTGAGAAGCGAGGAGAGCCAGGACCTGAGGAGCGAGGGCGGCCGGGCGCGAGCGAAAACAGCCGGGAACTGAGGAGCGAGGGCAGGCCAGAGCGGATTCTGGCAGAGCGAGCGAGGACGGCCTTGTGGGGTGGAGCGGAGCCGAATCCGAGGCCCTGCGGCCTCCACCCACCTCCAGGCGTCACCTCGAAGCCGGGCTGTGAGGCCCTTGGCGCCTTGCTCCAGAGCGCACTGCTGGGCATTTGACATTACCTGCTCTGCTACTGCAGATTTCCAGACCCTGCACTTACAGCCTCTTTGGCGGACCTGAAATTTCTCTGCACCCTCATTGTATTGGAAGTTTATGGAAAAGTTGGGCTGGGATCTGCTGTGTACCATACTTAGTTTTCAGCCTGCAAGGTGGCCCATTGAAGGAGGAGGTTGCTGTTCCTTGTCCCTAGTGAGTGCTGAGTATGAAGGGTACTTTCAGAGGCTCTCAGTTGAGTGGAAACCCTACCGCTGCCCATTGCTTGTGCTGAGCATCTTTTCTAGTACATTCTCTCTCTGACCCTTGGAGATCTATGACTATGTTCAGAAGCTTCAAACAGAACCGACTTGAAACTTGTAGGCACACACAAGTGATTAACACACACATAAGCGTATAGATACAGGGATGCATTTGATCGCTCTTGCACGTCAGTGATGAGCTAACAAATTCAGCCTCTGTTGAAAATGTACTTGTTTTTGAAATATCAGTCATCTTCTCCCACAGTACTGGCAACAGATAAACCATGGTGAGCTTGTATTTAATCACAGCCTTTAAAAAAACACTGACTTTATTCCGAACTGTGGTCCTCTACTAAAGTTGATTTGTCTTCTCTTAAAACTTCAAGGTGGAATTAAGATGGGAAGTTATTCTGCACACTGGGGGCAACTTGACATTGAAATAGTCATAAACCAGGTTTGAAAGCGTTATCTAATCTCCTCCATTCTGAATTATGTTTCAGATGGGAAGCTCTTGTCTACTGAAGTGACTCATTATATGATCCCAGACTGGAAAGTTGTCCAGGATTACCTTGAGATCCTTGAGTTTCCTGAGTTGAAGGGAATCATTTTCATGCAAACAGCTTGTCAAGCAGTACAGCATCAAAGAGGCCGAAGGTATCTGTTTTGCATTATTTATTTATAGTGTCAATCTCACCCCTCCCTGTTTTTTGTTTTTTGGTTTTTTTTTTTAGAGAAGGTCCCCTTGTTGGAAGGGAAGAGGAGGAATTCATTATGTCAGAAAGGACTTTTGAAACTAATTTGGTATTCTCTTTGTTGGTGAGGAACTTGTGGTAACATTTTATATGTGGGCTTCAACACCTGACCAAAAGATCTGACTATAGATCAAGAAGCTGCAGTGTCCCCAGTATTTAAGATTCTAGTGTGAATTGACTTCTGGTTTGCATTTTTATAGTACCACAGTTATTGCTTCTTTTTACTTTTACTAATAATACACATCATTTAATCTTCTTATCTGTAGATACATTGTTTCAGGAACATTCTTTTCTTGGGTAAAGAATATTTTTAAATTTTGTCCTTTATTCTGGATGCAAGTGCTACTTACATTGATTTATTTAATGAAATAAAAAAATAGCTGTTTATTTTTAATCATGTAACTATCAACCATAGTAATTGTATTTGATAAACAAAACATCTCTGATTGAACCAGTCTAAAATACTTCCCTTGTGCCTAAGTGAAGAGTAGTTGCCACTTTCTCTACAGATACTTTAAAGCATAGTTTTGCTTCATGTGATACTGGGAAAATTTTTATGATTTGAACTTAAGACAGTATGAAAATCACATATTAGAATTATATGCCCAATCTCTCAACACCCCAAGTTATTTAATAAGCAGAATTCTGTGTTTATTCTGTTTTTAAATGTTTTAGTTTCTTCAGACTTTGGTAGTAAAAGATAAAGTCTTTTTTATTTGTATATGAAAATGACAAATTGCCCTTATGATATGCTCAGTTCAAAAACATGCACATTAACTGGAATGTGTACAGGTTCTTTTTCAGATCAAGTGTTTTAAAATGAGCCAGAAGTTGATTTTGTTCAGACACAGAGATATAGTTGTTTACACACATCCAGTTTAAATGCTGCTGCAGGTGTCGTATTTCAATTTCTTCTAAAATCAATTTGTTATTATCATTCAGATTGCTCACATACTGCAAGCCTTTTCAACTTCTGTTTTCTAAAATATTTTTAATATTAAGGATTGTTTTGAAAACCAATTCCTGGGACAACCAAAAGCAAAGAATTGGGATTTAAATGTCTTTTCTTCTGAGCATTTCAAAGGTAGTTACTATGATGAAGAACTATTGGTTTTTCCCAGTGCTTTCCTCTGTCTCTGAGTATACTAGATAGGAAAACAAAAGATGAGGCGTTATGAAGTAAGCCCCTTGTATGCCGGGTTTGCCATTAAATCAGCACTTTTTGAGCTTCTAGTTCAGGCCTTGGGAAATACAGAAAAAGTCTCACAACAAGCCTGTGGTCTTGATGGAGTTAGATGCAAAAATCAAGAAGTAATTATAGAGCACAATAGCCATGTGAAGGATAATCAGATATGAGGCATCTAAAGCTAAGCAGCATGTGTGGGATGAGGCTGTTAGGCCAGAATGAACTCTGGGAGAAATCAGTTGGAGACTGGTCACTGGTCATAGAAAGTTGGTTATGAATTTAGAAGAGGAAGGAGAGGGAGGTGGCAGGTTTAAAGTAAGCTTTCAGGGGAGGACATCCTCTAGGTCTTGTGCTCTTTGGGTTCTTGTTTAACCTAAATGCACCTGCTGGTTGCTTTAACATGTAAAGCAAGAACCTGGATACATCAGGGTTACTTAATATTACAGCATCAGCCTTGTTTCTGAGAGAAAATAGTCTCCTCAATACCCAGTGTTTATGTATTTTATATATATAATGAAGCCAGGCATAGTGGCAGACACAGAGGCAGGAGGATTAGAAGTTAAAGGCCAACCTTGGCTACATAGCAAGTTTGAAGCCAGCATAGGCTATTTGAGACCTTGTCTCAAAAACAAACATATATAATTAATTGTATTGGTATTTAGCTAAAAATTGTAGTTATAGTTTTCATGTTTGAGTACTTAATAATCCTTAAAACCAAATCAGACCTTTAAATTTAGTAAACAAAATACAACATTAGAAAACTAAATGAAATCACAGTAGTTCCTTGGTGTACAAAAGAAATTGATTCCAGGACCCCAAGGCTATCAAAACCTAAGACTGTTCAAATCTCACCATAAAATGGCATTGGGCCAGCAAGATAGCTCAGCAGAGAAATGCACTTGCTGTCAAGCCTGAGGACCTGGTTTTATCCCTGTGACCTACATGGTGGAAGGAGAGAACCAACTCCCACAAATTGTCCTCTGATCTCCATATGCTTGCTGGGGCACCACCCCCAAATAAATAAATAAATAAATAAATAAATAAATAAATGTAATAAAAATTTTTAAATGGCACAGTATTTGCATATAATCCACACTTACCCTCCTGTAAGCTTTAAATCACATATTAAATGCCTAATACAATGCAAATGTTATGTAAACTATTATTATACTGCATTGTTTAGGGAATAAAATGGAGGAAAACTGTACCTTTTCAGTGCAGTCAAATCCTTTTCTATTTTAGCAGATATTTTCCATCTGTGAATGAAGCACCCTCAGGTGAGGGTGCAGAGGGCTGGCTCTAATTTAATGTGACAGATGGTGTTATTTTACTGAAATGAAATCGCCAGAGTTGCATTTAACAATAGAAAGACAGAACCTCTAATCCTGTTCTGTGTGGTAATGTGGATTTTATGTTTTGATCTCAGTAATACCAATGCAGAGAATGCCTGTTCTTATAAGTAGATTGTAAAAAATGGTTTGAATAATTTCAAATCTTTGATTGCTCGGGATAATCACATGTCTGGCATCTAGCAATCCTTAAGTGCTTATTTAATGAAGGGGCACTTGATGACTCTATAAGGCTTTCCTATCTACACATTCATGAATTCAAATGTGATTTGTTTTTCAAAATATTTATCCACGGGGCTGGAGAGATGGCTTAGCAGTTAAGAGCACTGACTGCTCTTGCAGAGGACCCAGGTTCAATTCCCAGCACCCACGTGGTGGCTGCGAACCGTCCTTAACTCCAGTTCCAGGGGAATCTGAAGCCCTCTTCTGACCTCCGCGACACTGCACAACACGGGTGCACTCACATACACTCATACACATAAAATAAAAATAATGAATAAAATATTTCTTTAAAAATTTATCCAGAGATAAATTGAGACTGCTTGGACTGAGAACACAGTGGTAAACAAAGGCAGACCCAGTCCTGAAGGAGTAGACAAGTTGGCCTAGGTAATCTTACAAATGGATATAGGGCCACACCTATGTACTTCCCTGAGGGATGTCGATGCTGACCTAGAAAGGAAGAAGAGACTAGGCAAGGGAGAAAAGCCCTCAGGAAGAAGGAAACTGCTGGTTCAGGGTCCATGAGGACATGTGGCATGCTCAAGGAACTGAAGGACACACAAGTAAAATGGAAGGCCTCATGGGCCTTGGGGATGTCAGGGAAGGGTTTTACATAGGATGGCATGGTGTATGATCAGGTTCTTGCCCTAAAAATATGACTGGGTGCAGTGGAAAAGAGACCTGGAGGAAAGGGCTGTAGCTATAGTGCAGATGAGATACTGTATAAGCCTGTTTTGCATTACTAAAAACATTTGAGTAAGGTTACTTTATAAAGAAAAGAGGCTTATTTTTCAGTTTATTCTTCTGGAGGTCCAAAGTCAAGGGGCCTTGTCTGATGACCTTGAAAAGTGCAAGACAGTATTACTTATCATATGACAACAGGCAGGGAGCATGTGCCTGCCTCTGTGTGTGTGTGTCCTGGCACTGTACCTGATGGTCTTACTGAATCCTAACCACTTCCCAGAGACTCCATCTCTACACAGGGGAATTTGAGTTTCCACCTGTGAATATCTCACAAGGGAGTTGAAATTTCAACAAAACCAATAGCACATTCAAACCATCTCCAAAACACAGCTGGATTTTGGTAGTTTAAACATGGAGGGAAGTTTATTTGTGTATTATTATTTTGTGTTTGTGTAATGTGTGCATGTGAGTGCCATGAGCGTGTCAGAGGACAACTGTCAGGATTCGATTCTCTCCTTCCAGCAGGGGACCCAGGGATTGAACTCGGGCTATTAGGCCTGCACAGTAAGCACTTTTACATGCTGAACTGTCTCCCTGGTCAGCAGCCTTATTTATAACAGCCATAAAGTAAAAACAACCCACGTGACCCACAACTGATGTTTAAGAAAGTATAGTATATCCATACAATAGAATATTATTTATCTATAAAAAGGACTGAATCTATCACCACTTGGATGAACATTGAAAATATTCTGAGTAAAAGAAACCAGCTACTTACACAAATAGACACACACACACACTATCATCTATTGTTGGTACAGGAACCCTTGGGGAACATTCAAGATCCAAACTGTAAGTTGTATATAATAGCACAGGTTTACCATCCCTGTACTCAGAAGACTGAGACAGGAGAATCATAATAAATTCATGGCCAACCTGAGCTACACAAGTGAGTAGCCTAAGCTACATAGCAAGACCCTGTCTCAAAATAGTAAAAAATCCCAAACTTAGCTGGGTGTGGTGGAATGTGCCGGTCACCCTAGCTATTTAGGAGGCTGAGGGTAGAAGAGGTTCAAGTTCAATGCCAGCCTCAGCAACATAGCGAGACTGTTCAAAGAAAAAAATTGAAGCCCTGGCATGCTGATTATTGAGATAATCCAAAATGCACTCCATGGAAATGCCTTGAGGGTCAGCCAATGCAACTGGAAACCTAAACATTGAAACTCCAGGATGAAGGTTAGGGTTAAGAGACCATCACCCGGCACTGCAGAGCCTAGCTTCAGAAAGGCACTCAACACCGATTCACCGCCCTAGTTCTTCCTGTTCCCAGCCCTTAGCTAATAGTGAGCAGAGGGAGGAATGTTGCGTCTGTAGGCAGGCTGCCATCCAATAGAAACAGCCAAAAGCTAGATAAGCTGGGCATGGCATCCTGCAGTTCCAGCACCTGGGTGGATGAGACAGGAGGATTACCTGAGCCCAGCTCAATCAAGGCCATCCTAGGTAACATAGCAAGATCCTGTGCCTCTCCCTCCTCCAGTTCTGCCCCCAAAAACACAGTCTAAAGAAGTTAATTTAGCTGTCCCTAAAAAATTGAACCACTGATGGAGGTTTAGAAAACATCTAAGGCTGCCTAAGGAAACTAGGTTTTTTTTTTAGTAAGACCTGAACTTCTGTTTTGTTTAGTTTTGAGACAGAATTTCAATTAGTCCAGGCTGGCTCAAGCTCACTATGTAGCTGAGGAAGACCTTGAACTTCTGATCTTCCTGTCTCTGCCTCCCAAGTCCTGGGATCATAGATATACCCCATCATGTCTGACTTAAGACTAGAATTTTTTTTAATTGAAGATCTTTGTATTGCACTTAGCTGTCTAAATCAGTGCCCTCCCATCTTTCTGGTCAAACTTACTCAAGGGCTACAATGTTCTATGCCAACTCCATACGGGCTACTCGTCTATCTGATTCTGTCATAAGCAGCACAAATCCTGACTAGCAGAAATTACAACTGTATTGTATGTGTGCACTAGTAAATTACAATGCTAGCCTATACATCTCCAAGAAGCCCTACCTGTCACAAGGGGAATGATTCACTGCTGGGTGCCCCCGTCTTCCCCATCATCAGTATTCTTGTGCCATTTGTCCATTTCCTTTATCTGATAGCAGGCTAACAAATGGAAACACACACTAACATTCTCAGAAGAATATCTGAGAGCGAAGCTTGAAATAGAGAAAGTTTTTGTTAAATTAAAGATTTTCCTAAACACTGGGAAGGACTGTTACTCTGATTTTGTGGCAGTCTGGTCTGGCTAAAGTATATCTGTCTGGGAAGGACCAAACTGGAGAACTCGTGGGTCTAAAGTAAAGGTGATTGGGTTGGTGAGAAGGTTTAGCAGGTAAATAAAGCACTTGGCACACAAGCCTGATGACCTGAGTTTGATCCCCAGAACCCACATAAAAGTAGAAGGAGAGAACCGACTCCTCAGAGTTATCCTCAGACCTCTACATGTACTCTGTGGCATGTGTGCCCACATACACATCACACACAGTGATGTTAACTACAATTTCAAGTGGAGGCCATGTATGTGAAACCTAGCCAAAGGGTAACTGGTTCTGAAGATAAAACATGGTCTGCTTCCTTGGATGCTGCGCCCTCACTCCCCACTCTTGGGTTTTTGTCTGGCTGCCTCCCATTTATGCTTCCTGTCCCAGCCCTGCTCTAGGAAGCCATCCCAGCCCTCTCCTTTTGCCAGATTTATTCCACTGAAATGGGTAGCATAGCTGTTTCTTAAATTTGTGGTAAAATGCACATGCTCTTTTTTTTAGGAGACAGTGTCTCACAGTGTAGCCCTGGCTAGCATAGAACTTACTGTACTGCCTACCTCTGCCTCCTGAGTGTACATGCATAAATTTTTAAAATATTTTTTTTTTTTTAAGAACACACTATTACATCTAGGTCTTTTATTTCTTCTTGTACATTAAGCCATGAACTCATAGGGAACGGCTCCAGCAGCTCAGGCTCCTTTCCATTAGTGCTCACAAAGTGTGCTTCTCTGGGTGGGGAGGTCTGACACTTCAACTGAACCCAGGTTCCTTTCTTTCTCTTTGGCTTTTTTTCTGGTCATTTTCCTTCACGCACTTCAGGAAGCTGTCTCGGCTCTTAGAGTGCTTAATATGCTCAATACATACATTAATTCTCTTGGCAAGAATCTTGCCCTTAACTTGCTTGTTTACAACAATGCCAACAGCATGCTAAGTGACATAGACTCTCCCAGTTTTGCCATGGTAACATTTATGGGGCATTCGTTTTTGAACAGCACCCACTCCCTTAATGTCTACATTATCACCCTTATAGATTCACATATATGTCGTCAAAGGAACAGCTCCATGTTTTCTAAAGTGCTTAGAGAACATATAGCTGTTGCCTCTCCTCTTGCCCTTTGTGTTTGCCATGTTGGCAAATCACTGGAAGATGGCTGCTCTGGCTGAAAGTTATATTTTATTTTTATTTTTTATGTGTATTGCCTGCATATGTGTAAGTGCACCTGTGTCGTGCAGTGCTCACAGAGGTCAGAAGAGGGCACTGAATCCCCTGGAAGTAAATGGTTGTTACAGATGGTTGTTAGCTGCCATGTGCATGCTGGGAATCAAATCCTGATCCTCTGCAAGAGTAGTCAGTGCCTTAACCACTGAGCCATCTCTCCAGCCCCACATGTGTTTAACATTTTTGGAGGCTGGAGCAGTAGCCCAGTTGATAAAGAGCTTATCTAAGATACATGATCCCCAGTACTGCATAACCAGGCATGGTAGCGAATAGCTTGTCATTCAAGGGAGAGGCACTTCCTAAGTGTACAGTTCAATGGACTACATCCATTTCCACTGCTCTGTAGCCACCAGTACCATCTCTAGAATTTTTCATCTTCCCCCAATCAAAGTTTGTACCACTTACAGACTGCCACTCCTTCCTTGTTACCAACCCCTAGTAACTATCCTCCTTTCTTCCTTCTCGAGTGTGGCTACTATAGATACCTCAGAGCTAGAGCCACCCAATATTTGTCCTGGCCACTGACTTCACTCACCCTGTATCAAGGCTCATCCATGTGACAGCATGTGTCAGAATCACCTTCCTTTTTTATGGCCAAGTGGTATTTACTACACCGGTTCATCTGTTCCTTGTCATTGAGTTGCTCCCACCTTTAGGCTGCTGTGAGTAGTGTCACTGCGAACGTGGATGCGCAGATATGTCTGAATTCCATTTCCATTTGTTTGGTATTTATGGGGTTTTGTTTTCTTTTTAATGATATTTTACTTTGTGTGTATGAATGTATTGCCTGAATATGTGTTAAGTGCACCTGTGTTGTGCGATGCCCACAGAGGTCAGAAGAGGTGTCGGATCCCCCGGAACTGGAGTTACAGACAGTTGTTAGCTGCCATGTGAGTACTAGGGTTCGAACCCCGGTCTTCTGCAAGAACAACAGGTGCTCTTAACCACAGAGCAATTTCTCCAGCCCTTGTTTTCTTTTTTTATTTATTTTATCTATTTAATTAATTTTATGTGTATGAGTGTTATGCCTTCCTGTATGTAAGTGCACCCATGTCGTGCATTTGGGTTGGATTCCCTGGAACTGGAGTTACTTTATAAAGAAAAGAGGTTTATTTTTCAGTTTAGTCTTCTGGAGGTCCAAAGTCAAGGGGCCTTGTTTGATGACCTTGTAGAGTCCCAAGACAGTATGAACCTGATGGTCTTACTGAATCCTAACCGTGTGTGTGTGTGTGTGTGTGTGTGTGTGTGTGTCCTGGGGCCCTACCTGATGGTCTTATTGAATCCTAACTCTGTGTGTGTGTGTGTGTGTGTGTGTGTGTGTGTTCGTCCTGGGGCTCTACCTAATGGTCTTATTGAATCCTAACCACTTCCCAGAGGTGGGGGGGTGTCCTGGGGCTCTACCTGATGGTCTTATTGAATCCTAACCACTTCCCAGAGGCCCCACCTCTACACAGGGGAATTTAATGGAGTTTCCACCTGTGAATAGCTCACAAGTGGGTTGAAATTTCAACACAACCAATAGAGAGCACATTTAAACCATCTCCAAAACATAGCAGAATTTTTGTACTTTAAACATGGAGGGAAGTTTTATTTATTTGTTATTGTTTTGTGTTTGTCTAATGTGTGTATGTGAGTGCCATAGTGTATCAGAGGATAACTGTCAGGATTCGATTCTCTCCTTCCAGCAGGGGACCCAGGGATTGAACTCGGGCTATTAGGCCTGCACAGTAAGCACTTTTACATGCTGAACTGTCTCCCTGGTCAGCAGCCTTATTTATAACAGCCATAAAGTAAAACAACCTAAGTGGCCTCCGACTAATGTTTAAGAAAATGTAGTCTATCCATACAATAGAATATTAGTCATTTATAAAAAAGGAAAACACATAAAACCCCATAAATGCCAACCAAATGGAAATGGTATTCAGACATATCTGTGCATTCACATGTTTTATGGGTATGAATGTTATGCTTACATGTGTGTAAGTGCACCCATGTCATGTAGTTGGGTCAGATCCCCTGTAACTGGAGTTACAGAGGGTTGTTAGCCACCATGTGGGTGCTGAGGGTGCTGAGATTTGAATCCAAGTCTTCTGCAAGAACAGCCAGTGCTCTTAACTGCCAAACCATCTCTCCAGCCCCTTTGTTTGTTTGTTTGTTTGTTTGTTTGTTTGTTTGTTTGGCAGTGCTAAAGATTTGTCCCAGGGCCTCACACATGCTAGGCAAGCACTTTACCACTGAGCTCCATCCACAGCCCAAGTCCCTGTTTTTTCATCCTTTTGAATATATGCCGAGAAGTGGGGTTTCTGGGTTATTTGGCAGTTCTAGTTTTGATTTTTTTTCTGAAGTCAGAGTAGCTCTGTTTTACTGCTGCAGGTGGAGCTACTGGACAGTTAGATAGGGCCTCTAAGGGCATTTAGTACAGTGTTCCTCACCTTGTCTAGCCAAAGCCTGGCCTCTAGGAGCACAGCAAATAATTGTTGAGTAAAGAGTGTTAGAAGGGTGATCATTTGTCCACAAATAACCAGAGTTAAGTGGGAGGCCCCGGGTTGGATCCCAGCACTGTAAAGCAAACAACCCAACTGATGCCCTTTAAAATAACCATTTGAGGGGCTGGAGAGATGACTCAGCAGTTAAGAACACTGGCTGTTCCTGCAGAAGACCTAGGTTCAGATCCTAGCACCCACATGGTAGCTAACAACTTTCCGTAACTCCAGTTCAACAGCCTCTTCTGTCCTCTGTGGGCATTGCATGACACGGGTGCACTTGCATACATGCAGGCAAACCACACAATACAAATAAAATAAGAAATAAAAAAAAATTTTTTTTAAATAAAATAACCACTTGAATGTTCTGTAATTTCATATCACCACGTTCTGGTCCACAATGCTACAAGACTCTCCTGGTTGGGGAAAACATATACTTTCTGTTAATTGTCTAACAAATGAGGCTAGCTCTGTTTAATGTAAATTAGGGTGGCTGCATAAATACAATTCACAGATAAATCCCTAAACAGTTTACTTTACATGTCATTCTCTATGCCCACCAGCTAGAGGAAAAATGCATTAATGCTTAGAAATGCCATTTGTAAACAAAATGGAGACCCAAAATAAAGTACCAGGCTCTACTTGCCTCTGCATGTGTGGCTGTATCAGGCAAGATGATGAAATTATGTAGTAAAATGGCTAGACCTCTCTCTAAGGGGAAAGGGGGAAAAGGAGTTTAATTAACCTGCAAAGTAATTAACAAGGTCTTGCCTAAGCCCAGGCAACTAACAGGCAAAACAGAATCAGTAATGCTGAGCACACTGAAGCCTACAGTGGTAATATGTGATGCCACATTACAGCACAGCCTTAATAAAAAAACAGCCTGACTCTTACCGAGCTAGAGAGATGACTCAGTAGTTAGGAGCAGGTACTATTCTTAATGCAGAGGACCCAAGGACTTCAATTCCCAGCACCTACATCAGGTAGCTCACAACCACTTGTAACTCCAACTCCAGGAGAATCCAAAGCCTCTGGCCCCTGTGGACATCTACACTTATGTGCACATACTCCACATAGGCACACATGTATACACATAATTAAAAATAATAAAAATATATCTTTAAAACAACAGCAAAAAAAACAGTCTGACTCTTAGCATCCATTTTAACCAGGAGGGGACCCAAACTGCTCTAAGAACCTGTTCCTTCAGAATTCTTTCAGAACTGTGCTCCTGAACAAAGGCTTTCCTCTGTCTTTTTTGTATTTTGTTTTGTTTTTGTTTGTTTGTTTTTGGTCTTTTTGAGACAGGGTCTCCCTGTAGCCCCAGCTGTCCTGGAACTCACTATGTAGACCAGGCTGGCCTTGAACTCACAGAGATCTGCCTGCTTCTGCCTCCCGAGTGCTAGGATTAAAGGCATGCACCACCACACCTGGCCTTTCCTCTGTCTTTTATTGAATTGTACAAACAGCATGAAATTGGGAAGAAAATGTGGATCCTTATTGTTAAGGTTCAAATAGCCCCGGACTTCTCAAGCTCCTGAGAAAAGGGAATTGAGTTGATAAGCACCCTGGTCTTTGAAGTAAAGAGAAGCAGACTTTTCTCCACTGTTTGGCCAACACAGCAGGCTTCCCCTTTGATATCTAAAGAGGACAGGTTTTAACAGTCCCCCTCTCCCACCCACCCCCCAACATCCAACTTTAAAAAGAATACATCTCCCTACCTTCTCAGGAAGCAGAAGCCTCTCCCTTCAAAGATTCCAGCTCACGACCTAGGGCAGACATTTTCCCATCCCAGAAGGGAATCTGTCCCATGTGTTCCTTTGCTTATAAACTCTGCTTTCTCCTGATCAACCCTATCCATTATACGGCTACTATTTATCTACCAGATGGTGCCAAACCCAGTTCTTACTTCAAGGGACCTGCCTGGACTTCTCCAATGCCACTAACTTGGCTTTCGGCTGGCCTTGAACTCACAGAGATCTGCCTGCCTCTGCCTCCCAAGTGCTGGGACTACAGGCGTGCGCCACCACACCCAGCATACAGCTACTTTTTATCTATCACTCATCAGAAGGATTTTCCCTTTCTGACCCCTACTGACCTAGAACAGCACACAGACACACACACACAGATATTATAAATTAAATCCGTGCTGTTTGTAACACAAATGGGATAATCTCTGTTGCTTTATCCATAGCAGTTATTTGATATGCAAAACATATTCATACACATTCATACATTGTTCCCGATCAAGGGCAAAGAAAACATGAGGAATTAAAGCTATATGCCCAGGTCACAAAAGGAGCCCAAGGCAACTTAAACTTGTTTTACATTATAAATAAATTGACTTAGTGTTAAATGATCTCAAAACATAGAGGTCACTTTTTGGTTCCAAGGTTAGGTAAAAGTCATTTGTTCAGAGCATGTCCATATTATAAAAGTCATTCCCAAACTGGGCATGTGGGTACACACCTTTAATCCCAGCACTTGGGAGGCAGAGACAGGCGGATCTCTGTAGCCTGGCCTACATAGCAAGTTCAGGCCAGCTGGGGCTACAGGGAGACCCTGTCTCAAAAAGACCAAAAAAGAAAATCATTCCTACAGAAGCCAATACAAATAAACATGGCTCAACATTGGGTTGGTTTATTTCTTTTCTTTTGATTTTGTGTGTGTGTGTGTGTGTGTGTGTGTGTGTGTGTGTGAATTTGTGTGTGAGTACGGGTACGCTCATGCCTGCCATCATGTTAGATTTCAGCCCTTGCCTTTCACCTCGTTTCAGACAAGCTTGTTCACCAGTGCACAAATAGGCTAGGCTAGCCTCTGGGGATTCTCCCAGTATGAGCATTGTGATTATAGATGTTCACGCTTGGCTTTATGGGGGTTCTAGAGATTCAAACTCAGGTCTTTGCACATGTGTGGCAAGCACTTCACCTACGAGCCATCTCCCCAGGACTTATTTTGGTTTTTGAAACAGGCTCTCACTGTGTCTCCCAGACTGGCCTTGAACTCACAATCCTCCTGCCTCAGTCTCCTGAGTGCCAGAACATTTTTCAGGTTTTAAACAATCCATCTCACTCTAAAATGCCTCATCTGTTTTGGTCCTTGGCAGGAGATGAGTACCTGCTGTTAGATTTATTCTCTCCTCTGTGTTGCAGACAGTATAACAAACTGCGAAACCTCCTGAAGGATGCGCGCCATGACTGTGTTCTCTTCGCTAACGAATTCCAACAACACTGCTACCTGCCCCGGGAAAAGGGGGAGGCCATGGAGAAGTGGCAGACCAGGTGTGCAGCGAGTCCTGTGCTCTCTGGCACTCCTCTTTCCTCATCTGTGGCTCTTGATAAATATTAGCATTGCTTTCTTTAAGAAGTAACATTATTACATTGAAAGATTTTGTATAGACTCAATCTTTTCAGGGAGATTCCAGGTATTTTGGTTGCCTCTCAAGCTCTACTGTATTACCGTCCTCTGCTGCTTGCAGCCTAAGTTTTCTCTTAGCCTGAGACATGTTCCTTGTCTTTCATAAAGTAGCTTGTCATCTCCCATGTGCCTTGTAGCTCAGCCTGCAGTTAGGAAGTGTTGCAAGGTTACACAGCCTCTGGTTTCTAAACCAAAGCAGGAACTAAAAGAAGTTGCTATGGGGACTGAACACCCAGGGAGAAGAGGTGGCATCCTCTTTGTCTCCAGAGTGGGCAGCCCCCAGGCTATTTATAGTAGATAGCCAGGAAGTGATTGTTGAGGGAGGGAGGGAGGGAGGGAGGGAAGGAGGGAAGGAGGCCACAGAATGGCAGACAAGAGCCAGGTTTGACATTCTGAGCAGCAGCTCTGTGTCCACCTGGGGACACTCACCACCTTTTGCCATCCCAGGAGCATATATAATGCAGCTGTCTGGTACTATCACCACTGCCAGAGCAGAATGCCCATTGTTATGGTGACAGAAGACCAAGAGGCCATTCAGCAGTACGGAAGTGAAACAGAAAGGGTGTTTGTGATTTCCTTCAAGGTATTTCCAGCAACATTGTTACAACTGTGTTTTTATGTGTTCATGTGTATACTCGCATACATACTCATTTGGTTCCTAAGCAGTGTCCATAAGGCCATAGTCTAGACCCCTTGCCAACACAGATAAAAAAAAAAAAAAAAAAAAAAAAAAAGTAGGCTTGGGGTGGCTGGAGAGATGGCTCAGTGGTTAAGAACAATGGCTGTTCTTGCAGAGGACCTGGGTTTGGTTCCCAGCACCCACATGGCAGCTAACAACCATCTGTAACTCCAGTTCCAGGGGATCTCATGCCCTCTTCTGACTTCCAGGGGCATTGCATGCATGTGATGCCTTACATACATGTATGCAAAACACTCATACACATAAAACACGTAAAGTAAGTCAGGCATAGTGGCTCCAGCTCTTGGGAGGCTGAAGCAGGAGGCTTGCTGCAAGTTTCAAGCCAGGCTGGGCTACAGAATGGGACCTTGTCTCATAAAAAGAAAGAAAAGAGAAAGTGGAAAAAGAAGCAAGATGTTAGGATAGTCCATGTCGTTATTAATGATCAAGTAGTCTTAACTTTAGCAAGTCTGAGTAAATTCCAGAAACTGCTTTGAACACAGCACCCAAGGGCAGCCCAGTACGCCCCTGCTGACAGTAACTAACTGGTGTGTGTGGTGTGTATGTATGTGGTGTGCGTGTGTGATGTGTGTGTGTGGTATGTGTAATATGTATGGGGTGGGTGTGTGTGTGTGTTTGGGATTAAACACAATGGTGAACAAGAAGTCACCATACTCAGCTCACACTACCATTGAGCTACCTCTAGCCCCTAAGTTCATGTATGTAGTTATTACAGACGATGGTGCTCTGGTGATGGCAGATTGCCAATGGTCTCTTGTTCTTACTTACAAAACTGACATTTTACTTGTTTCCTCCTCAGTAGCGATAATCAGCATGTATCTATAGTAAGCATGATGTGTTCCTTAAGTATACTAATACAAGTAAGGGTGTTATTTCATTTAAATCTTGCAACAACCCAATAAGGTAGGACATTATCTTCTTGGTAAAGGAAAATGAAGCACAGAAAGACAAAATCACCTGGCCATAGGAGCTGGTACAGAATGATAGAGCTGAGATCAGTGTCCAGAATCTGGCCCAAAGCTCTTAGCCATTATGCTGACCTGCCTCCCAGATTATTTTTCTGAATTCTACATACAAACACAAACTGTTTTAAAGCCAATCCGCCTTCCTTTTTCTTCCTTTCTGTCTGCCTGTCTGTCTCTCTCTCTCTCTGTCTCTCTCTCTGTCTCTCTCTGTCTCTGTCTCTCTCTCTGTCTCTGTCTCTGTCTCTCTCTCTCTCTGTCTTTTTGAGATAGGGTCTTCTTGTAGCCCGAGCTGTCCTGGAACTCACTATGTAGACCAGGCTGGCCTTGAACTCACAAAGATCCGCCTGCCTCTGCCTCCCAACTGCTGGGATGAAAGGCGTGCACCACCAAGCCCAGCTCTCTCTCTCTCTCTCTCTCTCTCTCTCTCTCTCTCTCTCTCTCTGAGAGCCTTCTGTATCTCCAGCTGGCCTCAAGAATGACCTTGAACTTCTGATCTTCCTGCTCTCACTTCCCAAATACTAGGATTACAGATGTGCACCACCATTGGGTGGTTGAACTCAGGACTTCATGCATTCTAGGCAAACACTTTACCAACTGAGCCACACCCCTATCCCCTTAAAGCCAGTCTTCCCATCAGCCACCCCTCACTCTTCCCCACCTGGCAGTTGTGTGTGAGGGACAGTAGGGACACAGGAAGGGATTGAGATGTGTTATTTACATCAAGGCTGTCAGGTCACAGCAGGGCCGCTTTATCAGTGCCAGTTTCTTCAGGCTGTCATAGCAACACAGTTGTTTCTATCTCTTAAGTACCTTTTAAGAGATCAGGCTGACTGTTAATCTCTCCACAGATGACGGGTCTCTTCTGTCTGCCCAGTTTCCAATCAGGTCCTCTGGCTGATTGTATTTTTTGATGCAGAAACCAGGATGAGGCCCTCCGTTACCCTGTCAGTTTATAGAACATCCAGATCCAGTCTGAATTGTAGATTCCATAAGGACTCCCACGTGCATATATTGCTAAAGATTTACCAATAGAATTTTCTTGGCCCTGCTATAAAAATGTGTTCTGGCATGCCAAAGAATTCCAGGGGCACTAGATATTAATGGCAGTGTCACTTGCTTTTTCTGTTGCAATCTATCATGTCTTGTTCCTGCAGAGGACAGTTGACTAAAATTACATTTTTCCACTTTTTTCAGAATGACTTTTCTTTGTAGTCCAGTAGTATAGGACAGTTTTATTTTGTATAGTGGTTCTTAAGCAAGCAGTGTGGCCAAGAGCTCCATAGAGGTGAATGATGGCAGAAAAAAAAAGAGACTGTGAAGTTCAGATGAGAGAGAAGCCCAGAATTTTCTTTGGGGACTTGAATTTAGATGGAGAAGAGCCAAGAAAATAAATTCCTCCTGAAGACATTCACTGATAGAAGCTTGGTGCTAAGTGACACATGAGCATAGAGTTGCGGTACTGACATTGGTGCAGATGAAACCTCTAGAAGGAAGAAGGGAAGAAAGGAAGCAGTTTGAACAGGACTTTGAAACTAATGAGAGAAAAGCTGGCCTTGGCAATAAGGATGTTTTCTTTCCTTTATGTGAGAAATGAGAATGTGCTAGACTACCTTAGCCTCAAACCAAGTGAGGTACTTGGAAAAACAGGCTAGGGGTGTGTGTGTATGTGTGTGTGTGTGTGTGTGTGTGTGTGTGTGTGTAGAAAGGAAGCAGTTTGAACAGGACTTTGAAACTAATGAGAGAAAAGCTGGCCTTGGCAATAAGGATGTTTTCTTTCCTTTATGTGAGAAATGAGAATGTGCTAGACTACCTTAGCCTCAAACCAAGTGAGGTACTTGGAAAAACAGGCTAGGGGTGTGTGTGTATGTGTGTGTGTGTGTGTGTGTGTGTGTGTGTGTGTGTGTTGCCAGTAGTCCCTAGTCAGGGTTGGGGAGTGGGGTGGGTAATAGGTCTGAGTATGTGGGAGGGTGTGAATGGGGTGTGGGGGTGAATGGGGTGGTGTAAGTCAAAGGTGTGGGTATGGGGGGGTGTAAGTAAAGGTGAGGTTGGAAGGGTAGTATATGTGTAGATGCATATATTAAGGCTAGGGGAAGAGATGTGTTCTGCTCTATCACTTTCCACCTTATTCACTTAAGACAGTGTCTCTCACTGAACCTGGAGACTAAGCCATTGGCCAGCAAGCCCCATCAGTCCTCCTGTCTCCAAGCTGTTCCTCCACCCTGCCCCCAGCACTGGGGTCACAGGCATGTGTTCAGCCAAGCCAAGCTTTTTACATGGGTGCTGAGATTTGAACTCAGAAACCTCATGTAAGCATTCTTACCCACTGAGCCATCTCCCTAGCCCCAAGGCAGGGGTTGTGTAGTAGTGCTATCCTGAAGAATCATTATCATCTGACCATGTTTCTCTGTGCCTTTACTAAATGCAGCATTACCTGGACAATTTTTGGCCAGATTTAAAGGCTGCCCATGAGCTCTGTGACTCCATCCTTCAATCTCGGCGGGAAAGGGAGAGCGAGAGTCAGGAGACCCATGGGAAGGAGTACCCAGAACACCTTCCCCTGGAAGTGCTAGAGGCGGGCATCAAGTCTGGACGCTACATTCAGGTGAGGGTGGCAGTGAACAGTGTATTCTCTTCTCAGCTTGCCTTCTACCCCAGGGTTCTGAGTTCAAAACCTATTCATGGGTTGTACTAGAATCAGCAGAGCTGCAAAGCTCAAGGTCATTTGGGAGCCATTGTTCCACAGCCCTTAGCTGTCCAGTTTGGAACTTCTGTGGTGGTACTGATTGTGACACCAAGCATCACATGAGTAGAGCATGAGGACAGCCCTCTGCTGCTAAGATAGAAACATTTCACATCAAGGAGTGGAGGTGACAACATTACCAGACCTGTGAAATTTATCTTCTCCACTCCTTTACCATTTGCCCACCCCTTTCGAGGACCTCATGATTCCCCAGGACCCAGAACCCAGATGTTAGCAGGGTCTTGGGAAGGACTTAGGTACAGTAACTGCTCAGCTTTGGACAGTTCTACACACACCTCATGAGTATGTGTGTGTGGCTGTGTCTAGTCTTGTCACAGAGATCTGTGTATCTACCATAGTCAAGAAAACTCTTAATGGTGGATTTTGCATTTCTGAGGGCAGAACACTGAAGTCTAAACATGTAGTGAGTGTGCCCAGCCATTGGTGTAGTGGCATTGTTTTCTCTTGAGAAGGAAACCCTAGGGTTAAGATTAGCAACACAGCCTGCTAAGAATACTAGACCTTTTAGATGTAAACTAAGCCAAAAAGAACTTTGTTCACTCTGATTTTTTTATTATGATTTTAGGGAATTCTCAATGTCAACAAACACAGAGCACAGATAGAAGCTTTTGTTCGCCTACAAGGAGCCAGCAGTAAGGACTCAGGTTCAGTATCAACCATGTATACATTTCCATGCCACTTTTAATTCTGACTTTACACAACAAAGAAAGCAGAGTTGAATTGTCACATTTACCTATGTATATTGAGGTTTGTGGATTTTAGGGGTTTTCTCCCTAGGGTTTTGTTGTCTGTAATTGTTGGGGGGGTGGTGGTACTAGAAACTGAATGTAGGGATCATTTCTAATTTGATTTTATTTTTTTTTTACTCTTTAAAAATTAAGCCAGATGTGGGGCTGGAGAGATGGCTTAGCGATTAAGAGTACTGATTGCTCTTGCAGAGGACCCAGGTTCGATTCCCAGCACCCACATGGCAGCTACAAACCATCCTTAACTCCAGTTCCAGGGAAATCTGAAACCCTCTTCTGACCTCTGCGTCATTGCACGACACAGGTGCACTCACATACATGCAGGCAATACACTCATACACATAAAATAAAAATAATAAATAAAAAAAATTTTTTTTTATTTTTTAAAAAATTAAGCCAGATGTGGTAGTTCACTCCTTTAATCCCAGCATTCAAAAGGCAGAGGCGTTCAAGAGACTATGGAACTCTGTGAGACCAGCCTGATCTACATAGTTAATTTCAGTCAATAATAATTGCACATATCTTCTCTGTTAACTGTATTAAATGAACTTACTGTTCACTGTAGTTATAAACTTATTTTGATTTTAGTTTTAAAAGTTATTCCTCCTGGGCATCTGAAGCCCTGATTTTGCAGGAGGCTCAAACTGCTATACAGAGAAGTGAAGTAAGACCACACTGGTAACTGATGCAGCTGGCCTTGTAGCCCAGGCTGTGCTGTAGGCATTCCTCTGAACTACCTCAGTGTGCTCTGTAGCCTAAAAAGTAATCAAGAACAATGTGTCAGTTGTGTGACAATATAGTTCTGAAGTGACAGAAGGAAAAAAAACAAAGAATGAAAAACAAGGAAACTTTGATAGTGAAAGGTGGATGGCTGGGATGAAGGAGGCTGAGGAGCAGTGGCTTCTGCCAGTTTTCAAAAGCTCTGGGGGCTTTTGCTTGTCACCCCTTCACAGGTTTACAGTCTGTGTGACCGTCATCCTGTTGACTACTCTCTTGGCTACTCAGGGCCTGAGGATTGGACAGTTCAAGTGCAGGCTCACAGTTATGTGCAGGAAAGTAAAACCTGCCTTGAAAGGTGATGGGGTAGGAAAGGATTCAGAAAAAAAACTGAAGAGTCGGGGTAAAAGTGGTCAGTATGCATTGTGTACACGTGAGACTATTAAATAACAGTTTAGTTAATTTAAAAAAAAAAAAAAACAGTGAAGAAGACTGCCCTGTACAAAGCACATTAGTGTAGCATGGGAGCAGTATTTGTTCACGCCCAACCAGAACACTGGAAGTTTAGGTTGAGTGTGGTGGCACCTGTAACCCTAGCACTCAGGAGGCTGAGGCAGAAGAATCACAAGTCTGAGCCAACCTAGTCTATGTAATAAGTTCCAGGTCAGCCAGGACTGCACTACATATAGGAAAATCCTGTCTCAAACAACACAAAACAAAAACAAAAAAAGAAAGAAAGGAAAAAGAAGTCGTTTGGCTTCCTCTTTAAAAGAAAGAATTTTTTCTGTTTTAGGGTATGTGTATAGTGTAGGTACATGTTCATGTGGTTTGTGTGCACATGTGTGCAGAGGCCAGAAGTCAATGTTGTGCCTGGCTTTTGTGTAGGTACTGTTTATCAGGAAGAACTCAGGTCCTCATCCTTGTGAGGCAGGTTGAGCCATCTGCCCAGCTCCCTCTACCTGGTTTTTTTTTGAGACAGGGTCTCAGAATTTACTGTTTTGGCTGGATGGGCTAGCCCCATTGCACCCGCTTTTTCTAGACATTTGAATTCAGATCCTTGTGCTTGTAAGGCAAGCACTTTACCCACTGGGACATTTCTTTGGCCCCCTGGAAGGAGGAAGCGTTTATCTGTAGGATGCTGATTAGACGTGAGATCTGTTCATTTGAAATGCCACCTAGGGTGGCAGCCATTAACTCACAGCTTCTCTGTGCTGCAAACACAGGCTTGGTCAGCGACATCCTCATCCATGGCATGAAGGCTCGGAACCGCTCCATTCATGGAGATGTGGTGGTGGTGGAGCTGCTCCCCAAAAGTGAGTGGAAAGGAAGAACTGCTGCCCTGTGTGAGAATGACAGCGAAGACAAGGCCTCCGGGGAGTCCCCCAGTGAGCCCATGTCCACAGGTGAGCCTGCCTGAAAGCACAGTCCAGAAATACTACCCAGCTCCTGTGTTTATTTAGTAAAACTTGTGTGTGTGTATTCATCATACACATAATGTTTTGACATTCCTGCACATTGTTGTTGAATGGCAAAATCAAGCTAATTAACATTTGAATTACTTCACATACCATAGTTTTTGTTTATTTGTTTGTTTTGCTTTGTTTTTTGAAACAGGATCTCCCTGTAGCCCAGCTAACCTCAAACTCACTGTGTAGACCAGGCTGGCCTCAATCGCACAGAGATCTACCTGCTTCTGCCCCCCCAAGTGCTGGGATTAAAGGCGTGGGCCACCATCCCTGACCTTGCCTTTTTTTTTTTTTTTTTTTTTTTTAATTTTAATTTTATGTGTATGAGTGTATTGCCTGCATGTGTGTAAGTGTACCCATGTCGTGCAATGTCCTCGGGGGTCAGAAGAACGTCAAATACCCTGGAACTGGAGTTAAGGATGGTTGTTAGCTTCCATGTGGGTGCTGGGAATTGAAACCAAGTCCCCTGCAAGAGCAGTGGTCTTATTCACTGAGCCATCTCTCTAGCTCGCAATGCTGTTTTTTAAATTATCTTTTTGTATGTCTGTGTATGTATCTTTGTGTGTGTGTGTGTGTGTGTGTATGTGAGTTCACGTGAGTTCAGATGAACGTGCCACGGCACATGTGTGGAGGTCAGAGAACAACCTCAGGTTTTGTTCTTCACCATCTACCTTGTTTGAGAAGCCTACCTGGCTTTACATGAGTTCTGGGATTCAAACTTGGGTCCTCACACTTTTGTGGCAAGTGCTTTTATCTCCTGAGCTCTCTCTCCAGCACCCCCATGCTTGCTTGCTTGCTTTTTTTCTTTCTTCTTTTTGTGGTGAGAACTCTTAAAATCTACTCTTCTAGTGATTTGTGAGAATACATTGTTATCGTATAGTAACGGTTGTTAATATAAGATATAGTCTCTATATTATCAGTGTTGGGGATTGACCCCTAACATGTTCAGGGCCTTGAACATGCTGAGTGTATGCTCCACCACCGATCTACACCCTCATCCCCTCCATAGGTTTATTTATTTGTTTTGGTTTTTTTGAGACTGGGTCTCATGTAATCTAGGCTGGCCTCAAACTTACTATGTTCCTAAAGATGACCTTGATCATCCTGTCTCCACCTCCCTAGCACTGGGATTGTAAGTATGCACCACCATACCTGGCCTCTCTACAGATTTATTTTAACCTCTTCAGCACCCACAAAACCAAAACCCTCTCTGGGTCCTGGCTTCCAGCTACTACCTCTCTTCTCTGCTCATTCATGATGACATCTGAGGACACCTTTCTTCCTCATTCTCTCCTGTCTCTGTAGGATCTGTCATGCATGCCAGTCAGACACTCCTCTCTCACTCCTAAATCTGCTCTTTTCCCAGTGCCCTCCTGCCCAAGTACTGGTCACGTCCCTGTGCTCATTGTCTCAACATGTAAGTGACTGGTGGATATGCTGCTTTGTGGGCTCCCTCATCCTCCGACCCTATTGGTTACCCATCCGAGTTCCTTTGTTAGTTCTTCCCGTCTTACCTCTTCTTGGGTACGCAGTGCTCTGCTCCAGGCCTCCTGCTCTGTACATTCTCTAGACCACCTTCAATCTTTGAGTTTGTCTCCAGCTGGTTTCCTTACCCAGCTCTAGTCGTCTTTTTGGTATCTTCCCCTGGGTGTCCACTGGGTACCTCAGCCTGAGGATGGCCCAGAACAGACTTCTGACTTCTGTTCCAATCCTGCTTTTCCCAGCAGTTCCCAATCTCTGTAAATGGAAAATTCTTTCCTAGAGTTGGTCACCCTGAAAGACTGGACTTTCATATATCCACAGATCCTGTCAGCTCTGATATGACATCTGGCCCAAATCCAGCCACTTCCCAAACTCCCACTACACGTCTCTGGGGTCAGGCCTTGGTTACCTTAAAGCAGAATTACCCCACCAGCCCCCTACTGCTCCTTAGTGCCTTCTCAGTGATCCTTTTAAAGGTGAATTGTGTTGAGGACTGGCAGATGCTCAGTTAGCAAAGCACATGCAGTGAGGACCTTAGTATAACCCTAGAACCTACAATCAGAACACAGGCATAGTGGTATGTGCTTCTAATCCCAGCACTCAGGAGGCAGAGGCAGGCAGATCTCTGTGAGTTCAAGGTCAACCTGTTCTACATAGCAAGTTCCAAGCCAACTGGGGCTAAGGGAGACCCTGTCTCAAAAAGACCAGAAAATAAATAAAGATTAAGAAAAAAATATATACATGTTTAAAAATGCTAAGAAGGGAGGTCTTAAACACCTTTGCACTTTGTGAATGTGCTTGAGAACAGGAAACTGTGTTCCTTGTTTACCTCCTTGTGCTGAGCCATGGTAGGAGACATCTAACCAGTCAGTCCTTTTTTCTGTTTTGTCTTACTGAAGGTCGAGTGGTGGGCATCCTTCAGAAGAACTGGCGAGATTATGTGGTGACATTTCCATCCAAAGAAGAGGTCCAGTCTCAGGGCAAAAATGCTCAGAAGATCCTTGTCACACCTTGGGATTATAGAATCCCCAAAATCCGCATCAGCACCCAGCAGGCAGAAGCCCTCCAGGTAGCTAAGGCTAAACTTCTGCCGTCCTCCCTCTGTGAACTTCTACTGTCCTCCCTCTGTGTCTGCCAGCTTTTGAGCAGTACCAGGAAGCTTTGTTAGCTCCTTTGCATAAGAGGAAATAAATTATTGATGGCATCTGGCACTCTGAGATACTGTTTTTTAAAATTCTAAATATATATGCACCATCTATTAAGTAGTCTATGGTTAATAAATGAAGGCCAGAGAGAAATTGTCCTAGAAAGAGGTGTGTAGGACAGCCTGAGTAAACATACATTATCCAGCTGTCCAACCCCGAAACTTTCAATAGATATACTTTGCCAACACTAACAAGCTTCCTTCCAGCAAGCGATACAGAAATACGATCCCTGTGCCCTGTAGGGATGATGTAGTGTGACTTCACAGAATTGATTTTCCATACAGGAATAACGAGCCAAAGGAAGGGCATAAACGAGAAAAGCAGAAGTTAACCTTTACTTGGGGCAGAGAGTAGAGGCAACACCTAATTTAATTTGCCTTATGTTTTGCAGTTTGTAAATGAGACACTAAAGTAAAATGTCCCAATCCCATTACCTGGTTGGGAAGCTTTCTTCAGACTCTCAGAGGCCAGCTAAGACTATCGTACTTTCCATTTCCAGGGTGCTGGGAACCCTGGGCATTAGAAAGGGCCAGTTTACACTGATACCTTCTTTCCTTCCAAGGAGCATCTTAAGGCTTCAAAGAAATTAGAAAATAACTCCCACATACTAAAAATTGAGACTATTGTTTTATGTATTTATTTTTTAGAATTCATTTTTTAATATTCTATTTTTATTTTATGTGTATCTGTGTATTGCCTGCATGTATGTAAGTGTACCTGTGTCATGCAATGCCTGTGGAGGACAGAAGAGGCTGTCAGATCCCCTGGAACTGGAGTTACAGGCAGTTGTTAGCTGCCATGTGGGTGCTGAGATTTGAACCTGGGTCCTCTGCAAGAACAGCCAATGTTCTTAACTAGTGAACCATCTCTCCAGCCCCATGATTTACCTTGTTTTTTTGGCTTTTTGAGACAGGGTCTCCCTGTAGCCCCAGCTGTTCTGGAACTCACTATGTTGACCAGGCTGGCCTTGAGGCCTTGAACCCACAGAGATCCTCCCACCTCTGCCTCCCGAGTGCTGGGATTAAAGGCGTGCGCCACCATGCCCGGCCGATATACTTTATTTTTAATTACTATGTAGGTATGTACATATAAGTGCAGGTGCCTACAGAAGCCAGAAGAGAGTATCATATCCCCCCTGGAACTGGAGTTATAGGCAGGTGAGAACCACCCCACATGGGTGCTAAGAACTGAACTCAGGTCCTCTGCAAGCTCTCTTAACCACTAAGCCATCTCATCAGTCCCAAAACAGACTGTTGTTTTAAAACTTAATTCAGATCATACATGATTAGATTTTCCCCTTGTGTTTGAAGTGTTAACTAAAATGCTGTGTTAACAATTGCCTTTTTTAAAACAGATTAAAAATTCCATCCCACTTGTTTGAAGTAGAGAGGTAATGCCTCCCTTCAAAGCAGGGGCCAAGCATTTGCATACCATCTGGCAGTTCAGTAAAGTAGGAAGAACAACAACCAAAGTTAAAAAACAAACCACAAAACACCACTATTTGCAAACTGGCCCCTGTCTTTGGTGCTGTTTATCTTGTTTGTTTGATGCTTAGAATTGAAGCACTTAACTCCTGGCTTTGGCTCACATTGTATTTTTCTGTTTGTAGGACTTCAGGGTGGTTGTGCGCATTGATTCCTGGGAGTCAACATCAGTGTATCCAAACGGACACTTTGTGCGTGTTTTAGGAAAAATTGGTGATCTGGAAGGGGAAATCGCAACCATCTTGGTGGAGAACAGTATTTCCGTTGTCCCCTTCTCAGAAGCCCAGGTCAGACTTCGAAGAGGGCTTTGGTCTAGGGGCCATGTCTTTCTGCTTTTATTGTTATTTCATCATGAAGAAAGATATCTTGCGTGTATGTGTTTGTGCATACATGTGTGTGTGCCTGCATGTGAAAGCCAGAGGTCGACACTGAGCATCTTCTTCACTTGTTCTCCAATCTTACTTATTTTGAGATTTTTATATATATTTGTGTGTCTATGTGTGTGCAGCGGCCAGAAGAAAATATTAAATCCCCTGGAGCTGGATTTACAGGTGGTTATGGTTGTGAACTGTCTGACCTTAGTGCCAAGAATTAAACTTGGGTCCTCTAGAAGAGCAGCAAGTACTCTTACCCACTGAACCATCTTTTTAGCTCCTGCACCTCATTTTTCAAGATAGGATCCCTCACTGAGTCTGGAGCTCACTGAATCAGGTGGGCTGGCTGGCCAGCAAACCCCTGGGATCCCTCTGTCTCTGCCTCCTCAATACTAGGATTGCAGATACACACTAATGTGCCTGACTTTATATGTGGATGCTAAGGATCCATACTTCGGTCTTCATGCTGGCATGTAAGCCCTTTATGCACTAAACCATCTCCCCCTCCCTGAAAAACCTTCATATTATATAACAACTGACTATCTAAAGCCACAGAAAACTAAGAGCAAAAGAAATCTCACCCCTCCCAATTCTGTACTTGGACCAGACCTAAGCCAACTCCAAGTGTAGAGTTAGTTTCCTGCCACCTTAGAGCTCTCAGGTTTTTATATTTCCAACTGTGCTTAAAAATGGCATGTCAGGGTCTTGGAGTCAGTATCCATCCATCCCCAGCCCTGCACTGCACTCACTTAAAGACCCAGCTGAGCTCCACCCCAACCAGAGCTACAGAAAACTACGGGGAGCAGATTCCCTGGATCTTCACATCTCCAACCTATAGGTCAAAAACCGGGCTTATCATGGAATAATTTTTGTGACCTTTACAGAAAACAAAAGTCCAATGAACAGAAAATATCAGCAATTTCCATCACTTTCTGCTCTTTCACAATACTCATAAATCTCCTTTATTATTCTCTCGTGGCCCAATCCATCATGTGTACTTATATTCTATTCTCGTTCACTTAAAATTATTTCTATATATTGACATAGCCTACTTATTTTTAGTAGTTATGACAAATTACTGAAATTAATTTAGCCTACTTTGCTTAAACATTCCTCAATTGTTGGGACCTTGGTGGTGTTTAATTTTTCAGTATTAGAAAAAAATGCTACTTGAAGCATTTTTTATCAACATTGCCTTTTTTATTCTTTTTGATCATCCCCTTGGATGTAATCCTTAAAGTTAAGTTACCAAATCAAAGGGAATAAAAAATTTAAGCAGGTTTGTTATGTATTGGCAGATTGTTTTCCAGAAAAATATTTCCCCAGTGTGCACTGCCATCGAGAGCATATGGGTGTCTTGTTTTCATTACAGCTTCTGACAGAACAGGAGCTATAATAAGAAAATATTTTAGACTGTTTTACATTATTAAATTTAGAATACCTTATATTATTAAATTTTTATGTTTAACATTAGTTTATAGAAATTATTTGTTGACTTGCTTTGCAACTCTTAGTGAAGATGCTACAGTAAAACAAAGTGTGAACTAGACTTCACAGGACTAGAGTTTTCTCTCCCCTTTTAAAGCCTACTTAGTGACAAATTGATGCCTTAAACAAGTAATCATGGAGAGAAAATGACCCAGATCAGTCTGGTTTAAATTATCTTTGAGGAATAAGCTTTTACCTTTTGGGGACATGTGGATTGTTTTTTCCCTCAGGACTTGACTTGAATTAAAAGCTCAACTATTTAAACACATGGCTCATTTGGAAATAGGATGCATTGTGTGCTTACTAAGTCATCCATTCATTCTTGCTCCAACTCCATAACTGATGACACTGCCAGAAGTCACAGGATATTCCTATCCTACAGTAAAGGTCAGGAATGTCTTTTCTGCTGGCTCCTGACTTCCTAGAGTCTAGCCCAGTGCCTGACAGTTGTGAGACACCCAGTAAACAATTATTGATCTAAAGAAGGCAAATAGGGCTAGGAAAATGGTTCATCCAGTAAAGTATTTTCTGAACAAGGATGAGACCCTGAGTTCAAATCCAGAGCCCACATAAAAAGCTTTGCATGGTGGCACTTGCTTGTAATCCCAGCACGGGGAAGGAAGAGAGAGACAGATCCCTGGGGTTCGCTAAGCAGCCAGCCTAGCCTACTTGGAGAGTTCCAGACCAGTGAGAGACCCTATCTCAAAGAACAGGATGGATAGGGCCTAAGGAATGACACCTGTTGCTCTAGCTCTATGGGAGCCAATGCCCTCTAAGATTGACCTCTGGTCTCCACATGCATGTGTGCATACAAATGCACACACATGTGTACACACTCGTGCCCTGTATGCACACAGGAAGGAAAAGAAGGAAGAAAAAGACAAATTGGTCAATGAAGAAGGTAATAAGGGACAAATGACTTTCCACACAATCACATTGAAAATGTCAGAGGGGATCCAGGCATGCTGGCACATGCCTTTAATCTCAGCCCTTGGGAGGCAGAGGCAGGTGGATCTCTGTGAGTTTGAGGCCAGCCTGGTCTACATAGAGAATTCCAGGCCAGCTAGGGCTACAGGGAGACCCTGTCTCAAAAAGACCAAAAAAAAAAAAGAAAGAAAGAAAGAAAAGAAAATGTCAGAGGGTAGATTTCCACAGAACCTTGTAATGCATGGATTTCTGAAATATCCTCTCGTGCAGATGTGTGAGATGCCAGTGAACACACCAGAAAACCCTTGGAAAGTGTGTCCCGAAGAAGAACGAAAACGAAAAGACCTGAGGGACACCCACCTTGTGTTCAGTATTGACCCCAAAGGTTGTGAAGATGTGGATGACACACTGTCAGTCAGAACCTTAACTAATGGTGACCTGGAGCTCGGGGTCCACATCGCCGATGTCACACACTTTGTGGCCCCTAATTCTTACATTGATGTTGAAGCTAGAACAAGGTAATCCTATTAGAAGTCAGGGTGTGTGACTCTGTGCTTTTATTTTTATCTGTGCTAGTTTCAGATATTCAGACTAAGATCTCTTGTTTGTGTGATTCTGAAGATCTCTTCTATAAAAAAGTTGAAGTCCTCTCCTTCAGAAAATAGTGTCTTGATCGACGTACATGTCCTTTTTAACCTTTTCACATGTTGTTTCCTACTAGTTCAATGGGTCCATTTTCAAGTGCACACTACTACTTTATTTAGGTACTAGATCATTATGCTCTGATTTTTCTTTTACAATCAAGACTCTTGTCACTTTTACTTTCTTTGGACATCAATGGCAGAATACTCAACCCAAAGCAGAGTGACTGGTAAAGTGGGCTCAGGGGAACTGTTTAATTAGGCAGTGCTGCACTGCTGCAATTTATGAGGGGCAGCAGCCCTGGGGAATCACGCTGGGGTCAGAGCTATTTACCTCCTGCTGCCCACGCTGTCAGCAGTTCTGCTGGTTGATGGTCAGTTACCACATGTGTGTCATTCACAGGGCCACCACTTACTACCTAGCAGATCGGCGCTATGACATGCTGCCCTCCATCCTCAGTGCCCACCTCTGCTCCCTCCTGGGAGGCGTTGATAGGTGAGTCGAATTTTCATCTTCAGAGCTGGCCTTGGCCCTTCCTGCTCCCCTTCTTTCTTTTTATTTTATGTCTGCATGTGGGTATGTACACATGAGTGCGCTGAGCCATCTCTTAGCCCCTCCTCTGCTCTCTAATGTACTCTCACCCCCACTCCCTGCCAGCCCCTTGCTTTCCTGGCCCCTCTCTCTGCTCCCCAGTCCTCCCTTCTCTTCCACCCTTGTGTAGTTTCAGGAGACTTTGTTTCTCTAGCCTTCCCTTCCCTTCCCTTCCTTTCTCTCTGCTCTTCTTCCTTGGTTAGCTTTCTGAAGTCAGCTACAAGCTGGGAAAAATGCCATGTGCTCCCTAGTTGAAGCTGTTTTGCATGAGGCCCATAAACTTAGGGAGTTTTTATTTGTAGCTCAAGTCATGTCTATCAGTGAGTAGGTATTAAATCAGATAATCCAAAATTAATAGGTTCCAAAAGATTTAATGAAAGGCTCCTTCCTATTGTCTTCTCCTCAGTTACTATTACTTGAGTATTTTTCTACATTTAATACACACAAATAGAGATGTGTAATTTTTCTTTTTTTATAAAAATGCTAGCATACTGTAGATAGAGTATATGCCCATTCTCAGGAGCACTGTTCCTTTCTGAGCAAACCATCTGTTTCTATTTCTAATCAAAAACAAATATTGAGAGAACATATATTATAGTGTGTGTGTGTGTGTGTGTGTGTGTGTGTGTATACACTCTAGTCATCACTTTAAAATCTTTTTTTAAATTTTATGTGTATGAGTGTGTTGCCTGCATGTATCTAAGTGCACCCACGTTGTGCAATGCCCGCAGAGGTCAGGAGAGGGCAACAGAGTCCCCTGGAGCTAGAGTTACAGGTAGTTGTTAGCTGCCATGTGGGTGCTAGAAATCGAACCCAGGTCCTCTGCAAGAGCAGCCAGTGCTCTTAACCACTGATCCATCTCTCCAGCCCCAAAATCTTTTTTTTTTTTTTTTTTTTTTTGAGACAAGGTCTCAGGTATCCCAGTCTGTCCTCCAACTCAGTAAGAAGCTAAGGATGACCTTGAACTTCGGATCTTCCTTCCTCCAAGTCCTGAGTGCTAGGATCAAAGGTTTTCCCACCATGCCTTGTTTATGAGGCACTGGAGAATCACTTCAAGAGCTTCATGTGCAGTAGGCAAAGCCCTCTACCAATTAAGCTACATCTGCAGCCCCTCAGCACCTTTTACAAACTGTGTATCTTAGCAATCATTCTGTTTTAATGGTGGCTTATCTATGAAAATTTTGGGGGGTTTTTTTTGCTATTACAAAGTTGTACTGAATTATTTTGAGCATAACTCACTTCATATTTTAAAAGATACAATATAACTGAAGGAGACATTCCTAGAAGCAGAACTTGTCAAGGTACATACATTTGGGTTGAGATCCCTGTAATCAGATTGTTCTCCACAGAGATTACAACAGTCTACTTCAGTGGATGCAAGTGCTGGCTGCAAGCACTGTTTCCACAGCCTTACCCACACAGTATCTATATCCTTTCATCTTAGCCAGTTTGATAAGTAAAAAGTAGTGTCTTAGTTTCTATTTGATTTGTCCTACTACATGTAAGTTAAACACTTTTGTTAAAGGATACTGTGTGTCCTTTTCTGTAATGACTTCATATTTCTTGTCCATTTTTCATTTGAGTTTGTGATTTATCACTGATATGTAAGAACTCTTTACATATTAGGAAAAGTAGCCCCCTTTAAATGTATGGGTTGTGAATATATAGGCTTTAAATAAAATGTTTTAGTAGCAGAATGTTCTTTGCTAAATGAGCTTTTTGCTAATTAACCTGTTATCAGGATTGATATGAAGCTTGCTGTCACTGTGTAGGATTTAAAGGCTTTGCTCTAATTTCCTGGGACACTAAATAGACTTGACTCTGTCAGTGTCAAGCTCTTCTAACTGAAATGGAAAACGAATGTAAAATTACTGAATGTAAGATTTTCATATCGTGTGTGAATTCATTCAGAGTTCTTCAGAGCTTAGCAGAACCCATTCTGACTTTTTGTTCTAATTTAAAATAGATATATTTTTGGTTTAGTGGTGAAGTGATTGGTTTAAGAAATTGAACCAGAGCTGGGCATGGTGGTGCACGCCTTTAATCCTAGAACTTGGGAGGCAGAGGCCAGTCTGGTCTACATAGTGAGTTCCAGGCCAGCCAGGGCTACCCGGAGACCCAGTCTCAAATAGTTTTTTAAAAAAGAAAGAAATTGAACCAGAAATCTGTAGCAATGTCATTTCTTTCAAATCAGGTTCAGAATCAAGTTCTGAAAAATAGAAAGGAGGGTTGGAGAGATGGCTCAGTGGTTAAGCGTGGGCTGTTCTTACAGAAGACTCAGGTTTGGTTCTCAACACCCACCTGGTGGCTCATAACCATCCATAACTCCAGTTCCATGAGATTCAATACCCTCTTCTGACACCTCTGTGGGCTTATGGTGCACTTACCTACAAGCAGGCAAAATACTCATACACATAAAATAAAAATTAATTAATTTAAAAAAATAAAAAGGAGGCCAGGTGTGGTGGCCCATGCCTTTAGTCCCAGTAGAGGTAGGCAGGATCTCTGTGAGTTCAAGGCCAGCCTGGTCTACATAGTGAGTTCCCCAGGCCAGCTGGGGCTACAGGGAGACCCTGTCTCAAAGAGACAAAAAATAAATAAATAAATAGAATGGAGGGCCAGTGAGATACCCACACAGGCAAAGTACCTGCTACTAAGCCTGACCACCTGAGTTTGATCCCCAGGACCAACACAATACAAGGAAAAAAACAACTCCTGTAAGTTTTCCTCTGACCTCCAGACAAGTGCCATGGTACTCGTACATGCACATGCACGCGTGCACACACACACATACAAATGTAATAAAAAATTTTAAGTGAGTAGTGTGAAATAGTGAAGTTACTGATGTTCCTGTTTCTGTAGGTATGCTGTAAGCGTCATGTGGCAATTAGATAAAACCTCTTATGAAATTAAAAAGGTATGGTATGGCAGAACCATCATTCGATCAGCTTACAAACTATCCTATGAGGTGGCCCAGGAGCTTCTGGATGGAAACTTGAGTATTGCTGATGATATTCCAGAATTCAAAGACTTGGAGGAAAAGAGCAGAGAGGCCAAGCTGGAGGAGTTAGTGTGGGCAATTGGAAAGTTGACCGACATAGCTCGCCACATCCGAGCAAAAAGAGACCAATGTGGTGCCCTGGAACTGGAAGGTGTGGAGGTTCGAGTCCAACTGGATGACAAAAAGAACATTCATGACCTCATCCCCAAACAGCCCCTAGAGGTCCACGAGACAGTGGCTGAATGCATGATCCTGGCCAACCACTGGGTAGCCAAGAAGATCTGGGAGAGCTTCCCCCACCAGGCTTTGCTGCGCCAACACCCTCCTCCACACCAGGAGTTTTTCTCAGAGCTCCGGGAATGTGCTAAGGCAAAAGGCTTCATCATAGACACAAGGTAATGTTCTTCAGAGGGGCAGAGGAATGGCAGAGAGGGGTCTTGCTTTTATTCTTCTTATGGTCGTGCCTAAAACGTGGTATGTAGCCAGGCATAGTGGTACATGTGAGCCTGAGGCAGAAGGATCACCAGTTTGAGGCCACCTAGGACTATTTCAAGAGGATATTAAGACTTATTTGTTGCCAAGTAAAAGGTCCTAATTAAACTATCTTTTTTGGGGGGGAGCTGAAGAGTTGGCTCAGCCGTTAAGAACACTGGTTGTTCTTGCAGAAGACCCAGGTTAGAATCCCAACATCCACATGGCAGCTAACAAATGTCTGTAACTCTAGTTCCAGGGGATCCAATAGCCTCTTCTGTCTTCCGTGGGCATTGCATGACACGGGTGTACTTACCTACATGCAGGCAATACACGCATACACATAAAATTAATAAATAAAATATATTTTTTAATTAAAAATA